CGGTTCCCAGTACCAGAGAAAAACCAAAAAAAAAAAAAAAAAACTGAAAAAAAAAAAAAAAAAACAGCCTAAAAGCTGCCAGAGGAATTTGGGATTGACTAATAGAATTTCTAACTAGAGTATTACTCAGAACCATGACTGTACTAGAAAAATATTTTTTTTTGTTTTTAGTAATTAATTGAACTATTTTCACACTAATTTGTTCCTTTAATGACAATTTCTTTTTTCCATTTGCTGAAATTTGCTTAATATATTTTACATTTATCAGATGATTCAATCCTTCATGGGACATTTTATGTTTTAGCCAATTAACATTTTTCATTTTAGCTGGTTAAGGCACTAGTTACACTAAATAAAGACCATGATGATTTTCATCCCCAGGAATGGGATGCTCTTATAACTCCTTTTGAATTTGACTTTCAGCCTGGAGAGCAGCTTCCTCCAGAGATGACTGTGGCAAGACCTTCTGTTAAAGAGTCCTCCAGAGAAGGCACCTCTTCATTCCATACCCGTCAGAAGTCTGAGGTCTGAATGCTTCAGAGTTGCTACATTATACTAGAAAATGGTCTGTGAGGATTGTTCATTCAACATTTTAAAGCTTTCCTTTTCAATGTTATTCATACCCAATTTCCCACAGATAAGTTAAACTGGTTTTTAAAGTAAGTAGTTTCCCTCATGGAAAAAAAAAAAAAACCCAGTGAGATAATTATAAATGACTGTGCACTGGTCTAGCTTTGTAGGCGACACTGTTGTCAACAGTGACCTGGTGTAACTCCTGTAAACTTGTTTCCTGCCTCAGGGTGGAGTATATCATGACCCGCACTCTGATGATGGCACAGGACCCAAAGAAAACAGGCACCTGTACAATGATCCAGTCCCAAGGAGAGTTGGCAGCTTTTACAGAGGTAAGCCACCACCAGCACTGACCAGTGTCTTTCCCTCCTTTCTGCCTTGGATATCTCCAGCCTGTGCCCTCTACTACATTTTCACCAAACCGAATGACTTCAGACCCACAGTGCACTGTAGCCTCCAGCAGTGTTCCGTGCCACTGGTTCCCCCATCTTCGTTCAGGCTCTCTTGGCTTCTGCCTTGGGTTCCTTGAGTAGCCTTGTTACTGGTCTCCTTGTCTCCAAGGCTCCCATCCAAGCAGACTCCGGAGTGGCCCTTCTGAAGCTGCCTTCTGACTGTACTACTCACTCATTTAGTTAAGTCAAAAAATATTTACCAATGTCACCTGTGTGTCCACATTGATCTAGCTTAGAACATGTCTGTGGAAAAGGCAGCTAAACATCTAAGACTGACATTCTTAAGAGGAAAGATTGCCAGTCAATGTAATACTTCTCTATAGTAGTCAAAGGTAATACTGCTGCAGTGGGGAAAAAACAGCACGGCACAACCCATTGCCCTCTTGTGTCCTCCCCAGGACCCTAACTGCTTTTACCTGTTGAGAGGCCTTTGGCAGCTTCCCATGGGCATCAGGCATCTGAATTCCCTAAGAGGGCATTTCAGACTGCCCATGGTTTGGCCCTTGTCATCCTCTCCAGCTGCCCATTGCTCCTCGCCTCCCTGCCAAGTCTCTCTGGTGCCCAAACTATGGGACTTATGCAGACCATGCCCTCTTATGACCTGAAAAATACTTTTCTTCCCTGTTGGCACAATTTGTTTCTGTTCTTTTCTTTAGAGTCTTCTCCACTGTGACATTTTCCCCGCCCACTCCACACAAGCATTTCCTTCTCTCTTCCACCTGTGTACCTTGCTTATGCCTCTGATACAGTGTGGGCCACATCTCACTGGTTCTTTGTGTTTCTCTCGCAAGGTTGTGATTCCCTCAAAGACTCTGAATTTGTGGGCTTGGGCTGTTTTCCTAAGTGGTAGAGCACCTACCTTACCATGTGTGAGGGCCTGGGTTCAATCCCCAGCACTGCAAAAAAAAAAAAAGTTTCTGGATTCTGAGTTCTCTTTTATCTTTTTTCTTTTGACTAGTACACTGCCTGGCACAGTTTTGGAAATATGCATTGACTGAATTACAGAAAATTCAAGTGTGTTTGCACAGCCTTATGTATTTTGATATTTAACAGGTGACTAAAACAGATGTTTTTGGGGCAATACAAGTGTAGGAGACATTGATAGGAAAAAGGCAACTCCTTTGGGTGGTATATCGATGTGCTTTCTTATTCCTGGAAAAAAATACCTGACACCTGCAACTTAAAGGAGAGATTTATTTTTGGCTCACGGTTTTAGAGGTTTCGAAAGTCCATGGTCAGCTATTCCAAGTCAGGAAGATCGTGGTGGAAGGGCACAGTGAGCAGAGCGGCTCATTTCATGGTGACCAGGTGGCAGAACACAGGAGAAGAGTGCCAGTAAAAGGAATGTCCTCCAAAGGCATGCCCCAGAGACCCGCCTCCTCCAAGAGGGCCCCACGTCCCACCAGCACACTGAGCTCTGACATCAGTGAGTCAATCCTCTGGTGAGCACAAGACCTCTGTGAGCAGTCACCTCTCCAGGAGTCTCTTAGTTCAGCCATGTTGACAAGATTACCTGGCATAGGTAGTAACTATGTAATCGTAGACAGTAAAATTTGTGGGACTCTCAGTTCCTAGTGGAGAAATAGACAGCAAACTCACAGGGCAGGAGGCTCAGCCTTGCAAAGCTTTCAACAGTCACCAGAGCCATTGCCTGACTTCTGTTTCTGTTTTAGTAGGGCAGCTGGAAAGAAGCAGGAATTGTGGGGTTGGGGAACATGCAGAACTATTTTGGTTGTTTTAATTAGGGATGTGAGCTAAACACATGCATAAAAGAGTTATATAGGAGTAAATGTATACTGAATGATGCGGTTTCTCTGTTCTCTCTCAGCCCCACCTTGGGAAAAAGTGATAGGTGCTATATACACCTTTTAATGCCCCCCAACACTATGATGACTTTAGAATCTTATAAGATTAAACTTTTAATTCAAATTAAAGCTAATTAAAACAAAATGTTATAGTGTATACAAGCAAAAGCCTTTCTTTTAGCAATGTAAGTTTTACTTCCAAAATGTACTATGCACATTTTTTCTGTAGTTGTCTAGAGAAAATACTTTAATATAAAACGTTAATGAAGTTTTATATTAATAAATTAGTCTTTGACTTCTGGAAACATTGTATTTTGGTTGCAAATCTGTTAAGAGAGAAATGCTTCATCTGTCTACCTCATAATCTATGTTTGGCAGATACAACATTTTAATTTTAAAAAGTTAAGAAGTAGAAGGAAAGCTTCAACTAAATGAAACACCTGGAGACATGTGTCATTTCAGTGATATCACTAAGTCCTAGAGGAACAATGTAGTAGTATCATAGAAATGACAGCTCTTTCCAGAATACTTCCTGTTTTCATTCCTGTTATCAAGAGTCAGCTTAAATGGTGTCACTTATCTTGATATGCAGTCTGTATATCACTTATTTTCTCTCAGTACCAGGGCCTTCACACTGACTTACATCCCTGAGCCCTTTTTAATTAGAGACAGGGTCTTGATAAGTCTCTGAGTTGCCCAGGCTAGGCACAAACCTGTGATCCTTCTGCCTCAGCCTTCCAGAGTGTTGGGATTATAGGCATGCACCACCATGCCTGGCTTGATACTACTTTTGTGATAAAATTTACCTATATCCTAATTTGTAAACAAGCTTAGAAATTAATGGAAATATTTGGTAACTAGCCCCTCCCCCAAGCAGAAAAGCATTTTACTCGCACATATCATAGTTTATTTTTGTGTTCATTCTTGAAATGAGAATGTAAAGAACACTAATTTTTTTGCAAATTACCAAATTTCCTTGTAATTTACTTTAAAATGCATGAGTGACATTGCCTTCCAAAGTTTAAATGGTAGTTGGTTTAAAGTATAGTTCATAGATTCCAGCATACATATTGTTAAGAATTGCTTCAGACTAAGAATAAATTTTGCATAGTTTGGTCTCTGATAAGAAAGCCTTAACTTCAAAGCATGTGAAACCAGTGGGAGGATGGCTGTCATAATTTAAAATACCCTACAACATTTTCTAGTTCATCAGCTAACAGAACAGGGTTGTTACCTGACCCTTGCAGGTTAATGTTATAAGTAGAGGGGAAGAAAATGTTCCCTAGAATGCCATCACCCTCAGAAAACACAGAAGTTAGGTGAGAGGTGGATGAGGATTTGCACTTACCTCTTTGATCTGTGTCCAAGAAAATGCAGGATAACCAGGCATAGTGTCCTGTACTTATAATCTTACCAATTCAGGAGACTAAGGCAGGAGGATCGCAAATTTGAGGTCATACTGGACAGCTTACTGAGACGTTTTCTCAAAAAAAAAAAAGTTATTAGAGTTGGGAATGTAGCTTAGTGGTAGAGTGTTCTGGAATCAATCTCTAGTACCACAAAAAGAAAAAGAAACAAAAGGCAATAGAATAACTGCTTTGACCAAAAGAGAACATTGGTGACTTACTTTTTCTTCATTCAGTGCCATCTCCAAGACCAGACAATTCTTTCCATGAAAATAATGTATCAGCTAGAGTTTCTTCTCTGCCATCTGAGAGCAGTTCTGGAACCAATCATTCAAAGAGACAGCCAGCATTTGATCCATGGTGAGTGCTTTGTTTGTTTGTACTCTTCTTTTTTCTAATTGGAGATTCATGAGTTCAGGTTCAACATTTATAATAAATATCTTGTAAAAGGAAAAATTTTCCTGGATTAATATATACCTGATGACAGGGATAATGGCATTTGCAGTTTGTGTTTATTAACATTGAACCCCACATTTTGCTTAGCATTTTATGTGCCCGTCTGAGTCAGTTTTCATAATTGCCCTTTGAAGTAGGGGTTACTCCTGTTGTGTAGAAACTAAATCTTGGAAGTCAAGAAACTTGCCTGCTGTTGGACAGCCAGTCACATGAAGGAGAGAGACAGGATTCAGACCTCAGTGAGTTCTGACTCCAAACTTGGGGGTTTTACCTCTATACCACCTGGCTTTTCATTCATGGAGAAAGACAGAAATAAGAGAACAGCCCTTCGTGCTACCGTAAAAGCCAAATGGTAGAGGTTTAAATGGCATTGCAAGTTTCCTTATTCATTTATCTTTATGTGTCATATGTGATACACATTTAGTGAAAGAATTACAACATACATTAATTTCCATTGGAAAATTGGTCTGGGGAGTAAGGGTTTTAAAATAATAGTAATAATATAGACTTTTTCTTCTTAGTTTCTCAGACTGCTCAGATTCTAGATGTGAGGGGTGTTTATGTGTACTTTGTAGAACTTTACTGCTTCTCCACCAAGAGAGTGAAGTGGGGCCAGTCTGACAAAGTTTCCATCTCTGATGTTTATTGCTAGCTGTAGTCAGAGGGGTTTGTATCAGTGCTTCCAATACTAGGTATCTTCACATTTTGGGACCTACTGACAGGACTATAGCAAGGTTTCGGTGTTATGCCTTATAGTGAAAATTATTATCATTATTATTATTTTATTGTTATTAGAGATCAAGCCCAGAGGCACTCTACCACTGAGGCATATCCCCAGCTTTCTTCATTTTGAGATAGGGTCTCATTAAGTCACCCAGGCTGGCCTTGAACTTGCAATCCTCCTGCCTCAACGTCCTGAGTGCTGAGATTACAGATATGCATCGACACACCTAGCTTTAATTGTTTTATTTAAAAAAATGGGCAGTCATGGTAGCACACTGCTATAATCCCAGCACTTGGAAGGCTGAGGCAGGAGGATCTCTGTGAGTTTGAGGCTAACCTCAGCTACATAGTGAGTTCAAGGCTAGTTTGAACTACATAGTGAGACCTTGTCTCAATAAACCAAATAAATAAATCATGCAACTGTGAGTACCCTTGTTCTATGTAAATACACTTTATATCCATGCCTTATTTATAAAATGAGTCTAAACATTAGTGACCAAGAGTTTTGTTTCAAAATAGGATATCATGGTGGATGTCAACTTACCTCTAGCCATATGACTATCTGTCCTTCCTTTTCCTCCATATTTCAGGGCTTGGGATGCAGCTGAGTAGAAGAGTACATGTTTAGCATTCACAGGTGTTGATCTCCGGTATTGGAAAAAATAGTAGCACATCCTTCATCAGGTTCATGTGATAATTAAATGAGATAATACATAAAAGGCAACTACAACACTGCAAGGGCTTATTAGTGTTAGTGGCTGCAGTTAATATCCTCAATGTCATCTAGCTTCACTATGACTTATAGATGTTTCCCTTCTGCCTAACTTTGCTGGTAAACTTTCGTGAGTTCCAGCTCTTTGTGGCTGTTTTTTTCCTATTATGTAGAAGAGCTCTGTTGTGCATTAACGAAGAGCACGGGTACGGTGTCTTTTAGTTGCCAGTTGCCATCCCCTGAGAATAGTGTCTGAAGTGTGAGAATACAGAAGTACAGAAGGAATTGTATAGAAACTAAATTTTTTCTTGGTTATTTCATAATTAAGTGGTAATGATTTAAAAGAACCTCACTTACAGATTACCTCATTCCTATTAAAATTAGGTCAGGTCACAATTAAATCCAAAGGTGGGATAGGCGGTAATATAATTGTATTTTTTGTCTTTTTTTTAAGGGTTTCTTTGTTTTGTTTGGTGCTGGGGAACCAGAGCCTCGCTTCTGTTAAGTACACACTGTATCACTGGGCTGTACCCCCACTTCTCTGTTCCTGTCTTTTTGATAATCTGTTTAAGTAGAACTTCAGACATGGGTATGTGTAGAAACTTGAGATCAGTTACTTAGAAAGAATCAGGGACTTAATTGGGATGCTGAACTTTACAGCGTCTTCACTGTGTCATCCTTGGGCTGACGCTGCCGTTGTAAGGCCTGAGATCCAGAATGCAAGCAAGGGTTGAGCTGGCTCTCTTCCTTTGCCTCCGCCACCTCCTAATGCTACAGTGATGCATCTCCTTGATGCGTCACATCTAACTCAGTCTTTGAACAAGGTTCTGAATACTTGAATGTGGTTCTTGAACAAGATCTCAGTTTGACTCACCATATTCCTTATATTTAAGATGTGCACATTTGATAGCTTAGAAAAACATGAGTCTTGCTAAGGCAACATAGTGAATTGTTATTCCTAAATTATCATGCAATCTAAGGGCAGTCTGTATCTCTGTAATAGTAGTACTTTAAATTTACTTAGAGTATATTTGTACAGTGTATACATTTCCTGCAGCACAAAAATCAGCGATAGATACTGTAGTGCAATACCCAGAACTATTATTCTGGACATCTCAGCTACCAATATCTCATACCCACTTAAGAACTGGGAGATAAGCCAGAGTATCTCAGAACAAGACAAATGGAATTAATGTACCCGTATTCATCATCTTTACTAATAGGATGACACCTCCATCCTCACTCAGAGCCTGTTTATTCTTTTATGCCTGGCTTTACCAGTTGGTTCTTGGGTCGGCAGTGTCATGAGCAGTAGCTGTGGAGAAAAGTAGGTGTTTCTGCCTTTTCTCCAGCCCCTAGTGGGAAAATCATGCATATCACAGATAACCATTTAGAGTATATGTTTATAAAATAGATATTTATTTTGCTTAAAAAACAGTATATGTTTAGAAAGACAGCCCTCAAAAAATTGGGTTAAAAATTGATGCATAAACAATAAACTAAATTAATTTGAAGTCCCACTATTTAAGAACTGCTATAACTCATTTAAATAATCCAAGTCTTTTTCTTCTTATAAAATTATAAATATATTGTACCCACAGTAGCTTGCCATAGACTTGCTCCTGTAGAATCATTCACCAACTTTCTCTTCTCGCACATTAGCTGGCTACCTAGTTATACTGTTAGGGGAAGGGAGGACACGGAGAAAGCATCACACTCCTCACCTCTTACAGTCACCTTCCACGATGTTCCCAAAGAGCATATACCAAAGCCGGCAAGGCTGACTCTGCAATCTGACAGCCCCCTTTTTCCGCTGCACCTGCCCCATGAGTCTGGGAGCAGCTCAAAGGAGGTAAAGTTCCTTCTTTGATTTATGTATACAGTATCTCTAACACCTAAGACAGGGGCCACATGTATAAAATACATACTAAATGCTGATAGACTTGGTTGAAGTTGGTTTTGGTATTACTTCCTTCCTTGATTCTTTGGAATTCTTTGTCCTATGACTGCTTAAATCTAACACTGTTGTGTTAGATGACGTTAGAGTCACGTGACTATGCTGTACAGGAAAGTGTCTGATTACCTCTTGTTCCCTGCACTACCACCACCACCATCATACCACCCCACCCCACTACAGTTCTGACCCAGAGCTGCTGCCCCAGGTAACGTGCCAGGTGACTGGATAGACGATCCTTTGCAAGGCCTCCATCCCTGAGATATATGTGAGCCCCTACTTTCCCTTGTACACTGTTCCCCTTTGCCCTGCTCAGCACAAAGCTGCAGGCTTTGTGCAGTGGAACTGCAGGGACCATTATGCAGAGATCCAGGAAATGACAGTCCACACTCTTGCTCAATTGGCCACATGCCATTTGGCTATAGTCAAGGCTCCTCCTTTATTCGCTTACAAAAGCCTGTGTTCCGGGCAGCTGCTCTCCGTCCGCTGCTCTCCGTCCCTCCAGCTCTCTCTTGGTGTCTCTCTGAGGCTTTTCTCCCTTCGTTTTTTCTGTTAAATCTTTGGGTGTTTTTGTGTAGCTTTTTCCTCACTCTTGTTTTTTTTCTCCTCTCTCCCTCTCTCTGGCTCCCTTTCTTCTTTCTCTCCAGGTTCATTCTGTCTGTGGTGATGCAGATATTCTTAGGCTTCACTCCCAGCTTTCATTTAGTTCAAGGATAATTTATTTCCTTTTTCTTCTGGTCCCTGGCATCTTTCCTTGCCCCGTTCTGAGCCCCACCACCTGCTCAGCATCAGTTGGAAAATGTTTTCCTCATCATTCCTCCTGCCCTACCTGGACTGTAGTTTTTCCAGGGACTTTGAGGAAACCCTGCGAACGGTCTTTGATCCATCTTCCTTTTGTTTTGTGGATCCCACTCTATAACACTGAACTGTAAACTCTGAACTGTTTTTCTCATTCCTCTTGCATTGACCCTTCCCTTCTTCAGCCTCTCACTTTTTCGTCTTATTCTCCATTTTATCCTGTATAGACTCTCCTCTTCCCAGGCAAGTTCTTGCTTCCTCCTAGCGCTGATTCTCAAGCCTTCCTTTCCTCTCTGGCCAATATGACCATTCTTACAGTAATGCCAGTTCCCCTCTGAGAGTGGATTCAGGAGAACAGTACAGCACTTTAACTTTCCACCATCTATTCTCACCCATTCCATCCAATCTAGCTTTTCTAGCTTTCAAAGTTGTAAGTGTATCATTTTGAATTCCGGTGCCTATTATGTTCTGGCTTGTTAAACTACAAAACTTTTCTTTCACAACTTAGAACTCCCTCAGTGACATTTAAAATTGCAAGTCCTAATGAGTTTCCAGAACTCTTGGGCTCACAGTATAGGTTTTCATTTCCCTGACTTTCCCATCTAGTTTCAGGCTAAATACTTAAGAAGAAATAGTCATCACATGTTCAAGCATGTTTTTTACTCCCCACCCCCCTTGCTTTTACTGTCTTTGATCTTCAGTCCTTGGTTTTTAAAATAAATGTTTTGTAGTTTGTAAAACCTCTTTGTTATATCTGCAATACAAATTTGCCATTAAAAATGAAAAAGAAGAAACTGTGCATCGATAACTCTTCTACCTAATATGATAGCTATTCAGATTTTGTTGTTCTGTTTTGTTTCTGAGACAAGGTCTCATTAGCCATGCCTCATCTTGGCTAGTCTCAAACTCATGGGCTCAATCAATCCTCTTGCCTCGGTCTTTTGAGTAGCTGAGACTACAACACCACCACAACCACATCAGGCTTTTAATTTCTTCCTGCCTTTAAGAAAATGTGCGTATCTATCTATCTATACTTATCTATCTATATTCCTTGTTGCATATAGTTGGGCTTATTCCATGCAGAAAGTTTTGAGTCTCATTTTACTTAATGTTGTAGTTGAAATATTCCTTTGTACCCGTGAATATTCTTTAAAGATGTGATTTTTTAATAGCTGTGTGGAGTTCTGTGTCATGCAGCTCTGTAATAGTTTATTTACATGTTTTCTGCCTTTACATGTTTTAATTAAATAAAGGCAAGATGCTCCTTTGCTCACATTTTCTTAGATGTCCTAATTATTTCATCATTGTTAGGGATTCTAAAACCATAACTTTAACTCTGTCACTTTTAATATTTCTATCAGTCTTGATTTTACAGAGTTGCTTATGAAATTGCTTATAGAAGAAATCAGTTATTTGAGAAAATGACTTTCCACAGTCATATGGTTATTGAAATTTAAAATAGAGTCCATGGAATGGGAGATTTTCAAGACTAACATCACTGAGGTTTTTTGTTGTTTAATGTGTAAGTCCTCTTTAACACACAATATAGACATCTTTTGTTTTTGGTACCAGGAATTGAACTCAGGACCTTGCACTTCCCAGGCAGGCACTGTGCCACTGAGCTATATCCCCAGCCTGGCATCTTTGTTAAGGCGAAGATGTTTGCTGTCTTTCACTATCTTCTATTTTTATTAAAATACCTAGTGGTATCTGAGGTATTAAGCTTAATGTCAATATTTTCAGTTAGAAAGGTTTTTTCTTTATATACACTTTGTTTTGAGGCGTTCATCCTGTCTGTTTTTTCTTAAGTATTTTTATTTAGTTTTAATAAATAGGAATTTTCCAGGTTCAGGCAATTTTTTTATTTATAATGTTTCTATAACAGCATTGATTTTTATGTTCAATATCTTGGCAAGGTACTACTAATAAGCTTGTTGAGCTGGTTATTTTTAAAGATAAATAGAAAAATGAAGGTATTAAAAATGTTCCTGCTTTTTACCTTGGAAGATTACAGAAAAGGCATTCTCTAAGCCCTACAATTTTCAGAATCTCTAATTCTGAGGCTTTCAGCAACATGAAAATGGTCCTGCAACGCAGTTACAGACCATTTGTAATAGTACTCAAATTGCTAGTCTGAGTGAGTCTGTGCCAAAGGATAAGCATTAACGATGTTTGATTAGATTCAGTTCCTCCCTTGCTTTTTGAGAGGACCTTTTCCTAAGTGGTCGATTCTTCATGGCTGTGTGAACCTGGTGTCATGCATTTTGAGTCTTCATTATATTTGTTACACAATGGCAAGAAAATGATTGAAAGATCCATATGACAAAATGTCTTCTCGTTTAGGAAAAGTCCTGAAAATATTAGTCATTCTGATCAACTCAAGGAAAAGGAGAAACAAGGTTTTTTCAGGTCAATGAAAAAGAAAAAGAAGAAATCTCAAACAGTAAGTAGATAGCCAATTTCTGTATATAATGGCATAGGTTTCTGCTTTATTCTGTGGTTACTTTATACTCTGTATGTGGCAATCAAAGTTAATTTCTTACTGAGACTTGAATGCATACACTGTAGATGTCTCTTTCTGAATTTCTGTACAACTATACTCTCACAGAGCTTTCTAGAGTTAGCAGAATCTCCAGGAGTAGAAATTTAATTTGGGTGAGAGAGAGCACTTTAAGCCTCTCTCAATAAATTTCTTATCCAAGTGGATTTATATTCCTATAAAAACTATGAAGATGCAGGATTTGTTTCTCCCTAGAGGCATAAAGATATGTGAAAACTTAGGAAATGGTTTTGGTTTACATTTAAATCTTGAAATTCATAAATAACCATCATTCCTTATCCTCCCCTGGCTGGTTGTAGGTTGCCTAGGTTGACAGGTACATTTCTGGGCCGTATAGTCACAGAGAAAAGGTTACCTGACATTTCAGGGCTTGTTTTAGTAGAAAAACATGTTTCCCCTGCGACTGCGCTGTCAGACTGTGCCTAGGCTCCGGGAAGCCCTTGGCCTAAGCAAAAGGCTGCCTCCACAGAACTGACCCCGCCAAGCAAGGATCGAGCTGGCCAGTGATGCAAGAAAACAAGGAGCCAGATCTCCAGGGTCCTCACTTCTCCACCCAAGTGAGGCCTGCTTACCCCTTTGTTTCATGACACCTTCCAGACTAGATGAGGTTGAGTTAGCTGTTCTAAATGGTTTTGTTTCTAATTTTACTTCATACATGATTTACTCTCATTTATTTGAAGAGGAAAATGGCCTGTGTGGAGGGACTTCATTGATTTCATGTGTAAAATGAATGGATTAGACTCAGTGTTTCTGAGGTCCTTTCCATTATGAATATTCTACGATTATGACTCCACAGTAAGTATAGATGCGATAAGTGATGGTAGCAAAGTATATAACCCCAAGTAATGATTTTTATCTCACAGATGTTCTAAAAGTATTAACAAAGACCTCTCTAGATTACCTTTCTAGACCCTTCTTTCACTTGCTTGCTTGGTAAATGTATTGTGTATTTCATTACACAATAAACATGACCTCATTACAAAAAAGTCACGGAAAACAAAAAGATTGTTTTCACTATTACCACCTTGCCACAACCAGTGTAATAAGTCCCCAGCTTAAGAATGAGTTGCATTACATGGAGAATTGTCCTTAAGCCAGATTCATTTGTAAACCAACAAAGTGAGTCTTACATAGTACACCTGTGAAAGTTAGCTACTTGAATGTTTGTAAGTCAGGCATTAGGGTTTTGGTATATTTCCCCCTAGCTTTTTAGCTAGTGTATGTTTGTGGAAGAAAGGTGGGTGGATGTGCGTGCACATTTGAAGTTTGTTTTAAATAATAGTAATCATTCTATTAAAGTTTTGTATTCTGGCTTTCATATTATATAATTTTATATGTACATGTATAAGTACTTAGGTATATATACATACATATATGACTTTACAGACTTTATTATCTTCATTTTAGTGGCTGCATAATAATTCCTGAAGTGTGCATTAGAGGGGGTTACCTGTATCTCTAACTAAAGCTCATTTAAGTGGAATGTCAAATCAAAATGCCATTCAGTAAAATGTTCTACATAGATTATTAAGACTGGGGATACTTAAAATATTTAAAGAGCTTTAAAAAATCTTTTATTATTATCTGTAGAACATACCTAGCTATCATAAACATTAAACATTGGCTACCTCTTCTTGACCACATTTGATACATTGCTGCTGTATATTTCAAGATTTTTGTTCTTATCACAGCTCTGTGGACATTATGGGATAAGTAAGTGTTAGAAATAAATAGTAAGGATCAAGGAATTGAACGTGTTTTATAGTATGTCTGCCTCAGCCCCTGACTCATTTGGCTCGTGTGTGTGTGTGTGTGTGTGTGTGTGTGTGTGTGTATGGTGATATTTTTATTCACTATTCAGTTCAAATTTTTGATACTTAAATGGTATAGGTTAGGGTAAGTAGGGAATTACTATTCTCTAGCATCCTATCCACTTGTTTTTTTATTGGATATTTAAACTAACTGCAAAATATCTTTCCATAGCCCATGATGCTGTAAGCCTTCCAAACCAAAAGGATTCTATACTTCTGCACGATTTAATTAAAAGAAAAGAGAAAGTTTTAAGAGTTTTACAATATAGAGTCAGATTTCCAAAGAGCACTATATAATCTGTGAGATCTCAAGCACTTAAGCCTGGCATTAGGTCAATTCCACCTTCTTTGAATCAGCATCAAATATAAAGTTAATTTGTTTTTACTTTCTAGAATTCAGCGAAAGGAAACTAAAACACATTTTGAAAGATAAGACATTCTAGCTTTTACATAAAATTTAAGGAAATTGAAATCTGATGCCCAGTGCACATAGAGAAATACGACATTTTAAAGTTGAAGTGGACCCTAAATCTAGTTGAGCTCCTTTATTTCACTAGTATAGGAACTGCACCCAGGCAGGGTGTTACCTGCCCAAAGTCACAGTCAAATGGGAGAGCTAAAACTGGGCTCTCCCGAATCCCAGGCTCAGGCTCAGTCCTTGCCAAGCCATCTCTTTGGAGGCCTCTGGGAGCTCTCTTCTGGCCTGCTTAGCAAGGCGAGTTAAACTCTGCTCCATCATTAGACCAGGAAAATCATGGAATATTTTACTTGAATGATTTATCCACCCATGGAGGAAGGTCTGAATACCTTTATTTCCATTCTAGTGCTCTGACAATTGAGATATCTAAACGGGGGAAAAGGGAGCAGAAAACAGTTGTGTATTGTAAAGGTGCCTGCTTTGTTTGATTCAAGTAAATCTGGAGTCTGCCTTGGGAAATCTGGCTTCAGTTCCATATCCAGATAGTTACATAAGCCCTCAGAGCATATGGTGACTTTGCCAACTTGGTAATTGTATCCTGCTTAGTATCTCCACTTGCAGGGATGCTTCAGTTTTAAAGATTGAACTTTATGTTTCTTCACTTGAAAACTGGTATTCTGAATTGCGCCAAGTATTTTCCATGGAGTAAATGTTTCTAACAGTGTGGGACAAGGCTTCTTACTCAACATTAGTATCCCACAGCAGTGGTAGGCAACTTCAGAGTGATGTTTTCTGGCTCAACAGTTGACCATGTTCAAAAGGATTTGCGGTATCTTTTTTTCTAAAGGCAAATTACATGGTAGATTTTTTAGTTGCTGAAGTCTTCTAGCAGTTAGGGAAAGACTGAGTTTTATCAGTAACTGATAAAACATAACTCTGTATAAGAATCATTTCTGATAGTAAATTCTTAAATGTTTTAAAAGCTTAATATAAATGGATGTCTGTGGGTCTCCAGGCATTCCTGCTATAGTAGGTATTGACCATGAACTACATATTATGTGCTTAAAAGAAATTCTTGCTTATTTTGAACTTACCTTATTGACGTCTTCATTTCCAGGTGAGAAATGACACAGAACCTCTCTAGACATATAGCACAGAGATTCTTTCAGTGACTATTAATATTTAACAATTTGAGGGCTGCCAAGAGCTAGAAGTTTCAGTAAAAGCACCTTTTTTTGGCAATTAGTTTATTTGTATCTTATATTGCAGACAGATTCCACCAACGGGGAGAATCCAAGCATCAAGAAATCCCTCTTTCCTCTTTTTAATTCAAAGAATCATTTAAAGCATAGTTCTTCTTTGAAAAAGCTTCCTGTAGTCACTCCACCCATGGTACCCATTTTTACGTATGGTAGCCCTGAAAACTGCTCCAGTAAACTTGTTTTACTGATGACAACAGCATGTTTTATTTTCATGGGGTCATATTCTCTTTGTGCTAGTTAAGTACCTGAGCCAGTTCCATAAATTCACTGAGATATATATTCTTTGGTTTTCTGAATCAGTTAAAGACATTGAAGCCTAAAGTCTATTAAACAAACTAGTGAAAGGCTAGTTTGGATTGTCTGATTAGCCAATTATTGGCAGACAGCGTTCATAAAATCCCTTATTTTCTGTGAAGTATTTGATTTAACATTTACAGTTGAAAATGTCTTTGAGTTTGGCTCATGAAGTTTATTAACATTTGGTTTGCAGTTTGTTTCTCTGAAACCAAGTTTGAATTGACCAAATTAAGTGAGCTACAGGCTCCATGAAAAAAACAGCTTCTATTAGTTGGTAACTTGCTCTTTCCTTGCCTGGCTCTAGCTTTTGCTGGTCCCTTAGTTTACAGCCATGGCTTTTGCTTGGCATTTGGCATAACTCTCCTTTATTCACCAAAATTGGTGAATGGACCAGTTGCATTCATTTGGAATTTGTGGCATAAATTTCCAGCATTTACCTAGTGTATACTGCTAGACCCAGGTTTACTGGGCCGTGGTTTGGGAATATGATTCAAACCATACCTTCCCACTTTGCTGTCCTTGAAAGCCTACTAGTCTTCTTTAACACCACCAGATACGGTGTTTGGATTATTTTCCCAGCAGGAAAAGTTTTTTGTTTTATTGAACTGGTTCATAACCTAACTACAATATGGAATGAGGATACGACAGCAAGTCCTGGTACAACCCAATTTAACTGCTCTCTCTTACAGCGACTGAAACTAACAGCATGGGAATGCTTTAAGGGTTGAGGTTTTAATAAAGCTGCATGACACCTGCCAATTTTTCCTAATACAGGGAAAATTATCGAGAGGGCAGCAGGATTTAACTAGCATCGTTTGCATTATGAACATTGGGAGAGTTTGGGTTTCTTTATTGGGTCCTTTTTTTCAGTTTGGTTTGATTTTGATTCGGTTCTCCTCCTGGGTGTGGTTGTATATCTTCATTAGTTTAATTGGTGTGCTTCTTGATTCCTTCTCCATCTTTCACTGTAGGTACCCAATTCGGATGGCCCCGATCTTCTGACATTACAGAAAGCGCTTCACTCTGCTAGCACTTCAAGCAGCAGGCCAAAGGAGTGGCGCCCTGAGAAACTATCAGATCTACAGACCCAAGTGAGTGAAAGGCCGTACCGCTCCTAGACTGGCTCTGCAGCAATTCCAGGGGTGGGGGGTAAGCAGTGGAAAGAACACTTAGCCTCTCGATGTTACAACAGAGATGAGAATCTCCCCAAAGAGACCCTCATGAGTAGCCAGGTGCATCTTGGGAGTCAGGGTAAATATGTTTCAGTGGCTCATGTCCCAGTGGGGAAAAAGCAAACCCTCCAACAGCCTTCATCTAGCTGGGGAAGGGGCAGGAGGTTAGAAGAAAGAAGAAGACAGAGTCTTCTGCAACAAATACTCTGCAACCCAGGAGAGAAAGAATATCCATAACAATCTTAGTAAAAAGATCTTGGTATAACGTGAGGTATGCCATAAAACGTTGGGGAGGATGAGCAAAAGTGGTGAGAGGATTAAGGTTTCCTTAAAGGTGGTGATAGCATATGAATTGGACCTTCAAAGACAAGTATAATAACCTTCTTGAAAGAATTTTTAAACTACCAAAATCTATTTTTCCATTTATTTAGTAACTTGTACACATTTGCACTGTTTTTGATAGAAAACAGGCAAATAGTTGCATTAGGAACTACCTAATAGACAGTATTGTGTAGCTAATATTTATCTGCTGTAATGGGGGAATGAACAAACTGAATCAGTAAAGTTTTCAAGTAATTGAGGTTTATCTCCTTTAAACAGCTACTTTGATTGAAAATACTTCAGTATATCATTTCAGTATCCTCTAATGAGCATAGTCATATAATCTACCATATTTTCATTAATTATGTCACAGATTTCTGTGATTTGGAGGCAAGTGCTCTGGTTTTTATAGTTTTTGTTTACTCTTTTTAACTGTAAGGTGTTAACTTCGAGCTGTGGCCTCAAGTTCCCCAAATTGCCATTCTCTCTTCCTAACCATTGATATTTTCTACCTCTAACATATTGTGGGCTAGTGGTGGGGGGACATAGAGAACCAGTTATCTAAGTTTATCAGATGTGTATTCAAACTAAGGAGACAAGACTCTGAGTGAAAACCTGACACATTATTCCCAGTTTTTAAAACTCAATAAATAAAAGAATGTGGGGCTTTAGAATCTCCTTGGTAAACCATTTCTTTTGTCAGGAAGTTCTTTTCAGGTAACTTTACATCTCCCATTGATTCTGCCTTGACATCAGTCTCCCTTCACAGTGTAGCAACTTGTTGGACCTTTGGCCAGCAGCAGCCATACTGCAGGCACACAAGGCTGCTATGAGCCCGTGTTAGGTGGTGACAGCCTCCGAGGAACAAATCATCTGTTAGATTCTATAGGGATATTGCTTGTTTCTCTGTGCTTGCTTGTTTAATGCTCAAACCTTACCAGTTCCCTCAAAATTTTTTTAAAAGTAAAACTACAGCAGAGAAAAGTGAGATTTTGCATTATCAAGGGAAACAGGAGATCAAGGAGAGAAGAACAAAAAGGGATATATGATTTTTAGCTCAGTGTATAGCTACCTAGGTAAAACATCATATTTTTCCAGCTTCTCTTGCCCGTAGATATGCTCATGTGCCTGAATTCTGCTAGTTGAGGTATAAGTAGAAGCATTATATGGAGCTTTGGGGAAATCTTCTCAGAAAAGAGAGGCATATCCCTTCTTTTTTATTCCTTTTCCTTCCTGTGGTTGAAGCATGAAAGCTTCATGGTAAAGAGAGCGTGTAGCCAGACTGAAGGAGCCTGGGTCTTTGAGCTCTAGTTGTCTTCTCTAGATTGCTGGGGTTTCATCTGAACAAAAAGTGACTACAGTCATATCTGAAGAAAGCCAGAGAGCAGGTGGACTTGGACTAGCCCCTCCAACTACGTTTGCCTTCCCTGGCACTATCTGGTCCGTTTCCTCCCAGCTCCCTGGTCTGCTCTAAATTAAATCATACATGCATTCTCATCCTTTCTTTCAGAGCCAGCCGTTAAAATCACTGCGCAAGCTGTTACATCTCTCTTCAGCCTCAAATCACCCAGCTCCCTCAGATCCCCGTTTCCAGCCCTTAACAGCTCAAGCAACCAAAAATTCCTTCTCAGAAATTCGGATTCACCCCCTGAGCCAGGCGTCTGGTGGGAGCAGCAACATCCGGCAGGAGCCCACACCAAAGGGCAGGCCAGCCCTCCAGCTGCCAGGTCAGATGGATCCTGGTTGGCACGTGTCCTCTGTGACCAGGAGTGCCACAGAGGGGCCTTCCTACTCTGAACAGCTGGGTGCCAAGAGTGGGCCAAATGGGCACCCTTATAACAGAACAAATCGCTCACGAATGCCAAATCTGAACGATTTAAAAGAGACAGCCTTGTAATTTGTGCTGTGTTAGGGGGAGGGGGGACAAGGCGGTTGGGAGGGGAGGGAGTGGGGTGGGCTGGGGAGTGGGCTGGGCCTGGGTGGTAAGCCAGTATTCTCAGCTTTATGAAGGTGTGTGCAATATTGTACGTGTGGGGCCATCTGGCTCCTCACAGCCACAAATGCTAGTCAGGGATCTTAGAGCCAAGGGAGTTCCTTAGGGATCACCACTCCCCACAGGTCTTGTGTGAGAATAGGTAGAGTGTGCCATTGAGGAAGAAGAAATTTTTGCCAGTTTCTCCCCCTTACATTCCAGCTTTAGTGCAATCTCTGTTGAACTTGGGAAAGCCGGGACATGTCCTAGCACTGCAAGGGATATAAAAATTCGTGTTGACCGATGCCCTTACCACATATTTTTTTCTGCCTAGACTAAATGTGGGGTTTATTGTAATCCAGAAGTACCCCTTTGAAGGGTTAGCAGATGAACTGTATGTCTTAAATTGTTTTCTAAGCTTCCACATTTGATAGGATTTGTAACATTTATTTATAATTAATATTGTACTGTTATAATCATACCTTTTATGTTATAATGTAAAGTTATTTTGAGCTGTTTGGAACATTGTGAAGCAGTGGGACAGCTACAGTAGTTTCTATAAAAACTAAACAGTAACATTTATATATTGCATCAGGAGTATTTTATTCTATATATATATATAAATATATATAGTAAATATCTGTCTGTTTTATAAATATATTCATTTAAAGAAAGTATCGTTATGACACTATCTGCCATATTTTTATACATTTGTGATATGAAGTGAGTATTATACTTCTAATAAAGGGAGTTGAATTGTGGCTACATGTGACTGTAACAATATGAACCTTGATCAATTTTTCAGCCCCAGCAGTAGCCTCTAGATGTGATCCTTAGTAGCAGACAAAATGCAGCATCTCTTTCCAGACCCGTAAGGGAAAAAGGTCAGATAGACCATTGGGGATCCCAGCAGGCCTCGTTTCCGCCCTCACACAGGCTCCCATTTGTGTCCAGGGACGTCACTCGCACGTGAAGGGAGATAGAGGCATTGCTCTCATGAGTCTTTTAGAGAGAATGTGCTCTTCCACTTAGTATTTGTGTAGAGCGTAGACCAAAGATGTGCCTGCGAACATTCCTTGTTGTCAGGGTGTAAGAGGCACCTGTCTGCAGATCTTGCAAACCAGCTCTATGCTCCTGAATCCTGTCTGCCCTCCTGGAGGCACTTGGCTCTAGGTGGGGTGTGAGATACGTATGTGGTATTTCTACTTCTAAATGCTTTTTCTGTTACTGCTCTTTCTGATATACTTAAAAGGCTCCTGAAGCAATTCCAGATGTAGAGAATGAATATATATATATATATCTATATATATAGATATATATATATATCTCCATATCCGTTTTTTCCTTCCTGGAACTGTCCATTTCTATCAAGGTCATCATCATGCACACGCCTGTATATATACACCACACTCCATCGGAACAGGACCTATGTTTTCCCCTCATCTGATCACTTTCAAATCCCAAGTAACTCCTGAGTTACTCCAAGTATCATCAAGGCTTTTGGCCAGCTAGTGTCACACACCCCTGTGTCTCTGGGCCATCCTTCACAGAAATCACCTCAATGCCATCATGTATCAGTAATATTAGATATTCGGAAATAGTCTCTTAGCAATAAGACTTTTAGCAGTTCCTCCCACCCCTCAAAGAGTTAGCTTCTCAGTATTTATCACTTGTTACAGAATTCTGAGAGGGTCAGCCCCTGAATGAAGTCAACTCTCACTGAAAAATGCTGAGTTACCCTTAACCCTCCCCCAAGATTTTGAAAATCTTAGCTCTGATGATTATGAAGATTATAAGGAAAAAATGTCTTAGATTCTTTGAAGCTTAAATTGTGTGCATATTACATTTTTATATAAATACTATAATGTGTATTGATTATATATAGAGGTCATTTTAAGGTGCTTTTTATTTAATTTTAATAAGTATAATAGGCACTAAGATGAAACTCAACTGGGTACTATCACTGAAACAATCTGATTCAAATCAGTAGTTTTGCATGCTCTCGAGTTCTTTTTCTATCTCTTCTTCTAACAGTTCAATACCGTTCGGGTAGCTCTTGAATCTGGCTTTTCCCAGGCAGCTGCTTGGCTATACAAGTGAGGTAGACCCTCAGCAGTTTTTTGCCTGGATGTAGTGACTCTAAAATGTGTATATTTAACTGTTCTTTTTCATACTAAATCTGTACCTTATTAACCCCCTCACAAACCAGAAACTACGTTTTTTTTTTCCTCTGGAAAGACTTCTCACTGTGCTGTGCGCTTAGCAACTGCGCGGTCCCATTGCCACACTGTGGCATTTGAGGCTCGTTGTCACCTGGGGGCTGGTGTCCCATGTTGTCATCCTTGCTAACACTGGGATCTCAGATGTTTGCAGAACATTTATATTCACGACAGTTCTTCAAAGAAGGGCTAGAATAATTGCCTTCTACCTGGAACAAACTAAACCTAACTGATGAGTCAATATATACTTTTTCGTACATTCCCGGATTTGAGCCAGAAAATAGCTACAATGTTTTCAACTAGTGTTTTCAAGGTAGCTCTGTTATCTTCTTAGCTTTTGTCCCTTCTGACGTTTCATTGATCCTCAGTAAGCTGTAAGTAAGCCTACAATCGGCATTTCTAGCATGTCATTCTCTTCCTGCTCTTGTGGGGTGGGGTGTAAAGTTTTCTCTCAGCTCTACTGGGCCCTCTCTTAGCTTTGATCTGTTTCTTTCCTCTCTGGGTTGATGCAGGAGTTATTGACCTCACAAAGACTGCCACCTGTGCATGGTAGGAAAGACTTGACATAAAGTCACAACAAATTGCATTTTCTTTAGGAAGAGGAATGTATGATATCCATGTTCTATTATCTGCCCTAACCTCCTAAGAGATACAAAGGTTAAACGAACACTTGTGAATTACTTTGTTTTATGAAAGTATCGCTGATCTCCTTTAGAAAAGCAGCTTGGCCTGTCTGTTTTTCTACTTTTGCTTCTCCACATCCTCCTTTTTCTTCTCTGAAGGTCTAAGTGAACTTGAACTGAGCCTTGTTCAGTCTTGACTGAAGCTTAGCTTCTCTCCAGAGCCCAAGACCAGAAGAGGGAGTGCTTCATGCCAGGGGGCTCAAGTGAGCTGTCTCTGTAGCAAGCGCCTCCCTTTTAGGGGCAATTTTGCCCCCCGAAACACAAATGGCAATGTCTTTAGACATTGGATTGCCACTAGGGGCATCTAGTAGTTAGAGGCCAGGGGTGCTGCTAAACATCCTGCAATGCATAGGATAGCCTCCCAACCCGAAAGTAATCCAGCCTCAAACATCGCTAGTGCTGAGGTTGAGAAACCCTACCCTATACCAGTCCAGGCCTGCGCCACCACCAAGTCTGCAGCACTTGGCTCTGGCCTTGCTCTTTCCAGGGCACAGAGCTGCAGCTATGAATTCTTCATCACATTCTCTTAAAGAATCTTCTACCACTGTTGTTGATATCCTATTGTTTGTTTCCATTGTCTTGGGCCTGCTAAAAGGTGCATACTTTGGGAGGAAACCAGAGTTACCTTATATGTGTTTGAGAATTTAAATCCTAGGTTAGCTTCCTTAGAAAATCTCTCATAGAGCCATGAGGCTTATATTTAGAAGCAAGCAACAGCCTGGCAGATTGGCATGATTTTTACCAACTGCTCAAAGGCATCCATGGCTTTTAGCTGAATCTACCGAAAGAAAATGTCTTTTTTTTTTTTTCATTCAAGTCATTTAATAGCTTTTTACAAATATTAGCATATGGCAGACAGATTAGAAGCAAAACTCTTTATTGGTGGTTGTGATGTGGCTGTTATAGAAGTATTTGTACTGTATGCTTTGATTAAATCTGTTTTAAAACATATTTTAAGACTCACCATATGCAGTTGTGTACTTTGATTCTAAGCTCTGAGCTACACCGGTCAGTCTCTAGTTGCGCCGTATATTATAAAGTATGTCGTGGTTGTAGAGTTAGCCAGTTTAGCATGTTCCTAATCTGAAAATTAGTGGACTACACTAGGAAATGCTATCCCATTTTCCCTTCCCAGCACCTCTTAGTTGATATCATAGTATCCTCACTTCTTAAACTAGTTTGTAGAGTAAATAAGGAAAAAAGCCATTTATTTTCTTCTAGCCATGTATTTAAAATGATTCATAAGTGTACAACTTTTTTTCAAAGGCCAGAGGATTACTTCTCAAGTGCATAGAAGGCTCTGTCCACTTCTGTTCACCTTGGTCCCAGTGCTGTCAGAACTCTTTTGGCAAGAGCAGTAAGTAGCTCATCCTCAGTCGCTGCTGGAGCTCAGCTGGAACTCAGTAAATCTGCATATTCTCTCCTGCTCAGAACCTGTTTTCTGGAGAGCATTGCTTTTATATCAGCAAGTTCATTGCCTCCTGCATTTGAGTGGGATGTTGAACTCCTTGTGAGTACTGAAACCCACGGATTCATACTTCTTTGAACCCGAAAAGTAGTATGTTACACTAAACCAAGTCAGAAAATAGTGGACTATTTCTTTGCCTCTTTCTTTCACCACTAATAAAATAAAATCTATAGACAGCAAAAACTTATTTGTGGTTTAAGAAATAACAGTCCTGGTTTCTGTGAAAAGGACTGTAGAAAAGATATTGCAAATGTTGTAAACATCCTATCACTAACACCCAGAACCAGAATATCACAAGAAGGTCCTCACAGAGATGTAAAAGGCCAGCTTAGGGCTAGGGCTATAGCTCAGCAGTAAGCACTTGCCTAGCATGCTTGAGACCCCTGGGTCCTACTCCTATATATATATATATATGTGTGTGTGTGTGTGTGTGTGTGTGTGTGTGTGTGTGTGCTGGCTTCAAGGGGGACAAAAAGAAAATAGGTTTCTTCCTTTTGCTTCTTGAGTAGCTGAGATATACGATATCTTAAGGTATGACTCAGCTGATTTAAAAATTTTGTCTTGGAAATCATGAGTAAGAAGCCATGAAAGAAAATGAAGTCTCTCACCTATCTGTATACCCTCAATGGGGGAGAAGTCCAGTGGTTAGGAAACTCTGGGCCTGCTGCCCTATGTGATTTTTTTTCAGTTGAATGTATTCTACAAGATGGTAGACTTTTGTGTGAGCCAGTTACTACAGAGTCTTCATTTCCCACAGTGCTTCATCAATCCATCTGTGTCAGGCCTGGTTGGTCTCGAATTCACCTTTCTTCTCCACCAGGCATTGACCCACCTTTCTCTGTATTTATTGTAGGCTGTTAAACATGATCCTTTCCCACCTTGCATGTTCATCCATCAACCGTTTACTCTCAAATTTAAGGGAGGTTGTCTCTTGTTTTGCCAGAAAAATTTTGTCACAGTCTGCACACTGGGTGTGTAGGGCCAGCAGAACTGTAGCAGTGAAACTGGTGTCACTTCTAAGGCCCTTCATTTCCCATAAGGGTAAGCTCTCTATACCCCCTTTGATCTTCGGTCATATTTGATCCTCCTTGGGAATCTGAAATCGGTCTCCGTGTTGTATGCAGATTAGAAGTTGCCTTGTTCGCTGCTCTTCCCATGCAGAGTATCAGGGAGAAAGAGGCCTTATCTGTCCCTCCGTCCCCTTCTTTTGACAGACTGCTGAGAATCCCTCAGGACTTCCTTTGGTTTGGGATTTCACTGCCCAAAAAGCTGATGTGATTCATTTCAGGCATAGACAGGCTTGTCCTAGTGCTCTGCTGCAGGTCTAGTCAGAAGAAACCCAGGAATAGAAAGGTAGATGCCTTGACTTTTGTCCCTATTGGGGGATTAAAGTGTTTTATTGCCAGAGTTATCAAAAGCTCTGGCAGAACTCTGTACAGTTTCATGAGAAAATGATGCTTTTCCTCCTGGAGAATGTGTAAGTTCTCCACAACAGCTTTGCTTTCCAAAATGGCAAGCAAAGCTTGCAGAAAATCCATTTTCCCTAAGGATACACAATCAGTTCTAGTCTCCAGTTTTTCTCCCTCTCCGCATTTACTCTGTGATCACTGACTGAGTCAGGCTGGACGGGTGATGCGATGATGAAAAGAAGTGAATTCTCTCTGTAAACTTGCATCGATGAGCAGAAACAGTTAAGCCAAACAAAATAGTTACCCCTGTCCTATCTCCAAGAATTGCTTTGTGCCATTCTGAATTCAGGTAGTTATTCTGTATATACGTAGACTACTAGTCAGAGCTTCTTCAGTCTCTACTAAGTTTGAAGGGGGTATCTGGGAAGACATAGGGCAGGGCGACATTGAGACCCTGTTCATTCTTTCGAAACAAAAATAGGGATAAGCCAGAGGGATGTGATATCCAATTTGTGGTAGGTGAAGAATCAGTGGAAATTCTTAATTGCACAGACTTTATAATCCATTATATAAAGTGTAATTCCATACTTTTTACTGTGGCAAGGGTGTGATGTGGTTGTTAACCTTTTTAATTTTTGAATCCAAATTGAATTTAAAGTGTTGAATACTTAAATTCCTCACAAGCTAATTATGAACCATTTGTAAAGTGTTTCTATAACTCTTTGTATCATGTGTTGGTACATCTTATCAAGTTTTTTCTGGCATGTATTCCATTCTAAACTTCTGTAAAATTTCTATTGTTGCTGTAAATATTATACAAATATCTACTCCGTGGTAATCTTCATTATCAGCATGAAATGGTTAATTTTTACTGAGCACAATGTATTTTTGAATGGATCTTCCCAAATGTCTTTAATAAAATGCAGATTTTGCACTGACCGATGTGACTGCCAGGCCGTCCCAGTTTTGAGCACTGTGGTTCTTCTTGTGTTGCAACAGCAAGCAGCACCATTTTAGTTTTCTTCTTTGTAAAGAGAATGCGCTCGAATTCAAATGAGGGATAATGGGCCTTTGAAGGTGTAATCAGTTTAAGGGAGAGAAAGTAATGTAAAGTGAGGCAAAGCCTGTTACTTAATGATTTTTAACTTCTATTTATAAATTTTTTCCCTTTATGGTATTTTGAAGACTTTGGTTCCTTTTACACTTGAGTGTTGTCACATGTACACATTGCTAGAGCTGAGTTGGTGGTTTGAGGAGGATGGGAAGAGATCCCAGCCGGGCACTTGTGCTATGGAGAAAGCAAAGATGAATAGCTCTGGGAGGGTTTCTTGTTCTATAGCAGCCAGCTTCTGTAAAGGGTGAGATGGTAACTACTGGGAGCCTGGGGGCCATAGGGGCTCTGTCACCTCTACTCAGTTTTGCCCTTGTCGTACAAAAGCAGCTGCATAATACATAATGGGTGAGCATGGCTGCATTTGGATAAAACCCTATACACAAAAACAGGCCAGAATTTACTGACAACTATTTTAGGCCCTCCGTTTTGCCATTTAAGGTGAGAAAACCAACTGAGTAGTGCTGAGTAGTCGGGAGGGGGGACACGCAAGAATTTATATTTTGTAGTAACATATATAAAATATTCTCCAATTTTCTTTCAAAGAGGAGCTAAAACAGTGCTTTGCACTACGTCAAGGTGATTCTTCACTGAGTGTCTTTGTAAGTGGCATGCGAACTGTGGCCTGTGATTTCAATTATAACTTTTATTAAGACTCAGTTAAGTACAGTGGTACTTCAGTTCACAAACTTATTTCTTTCAACAATTCTGATTGGAAACCGAGTTGGATGAGAACCAAATCAAATTTCTCCGTAAGGTCAACATTGAACCTAACCATTGAATTTGATTTGGCTCTAGTCCAATTTGGTTTATAACCAGAATTGTGAAAACAATGAAGTTTATGAACTGAGGTACCACTGTATCTGGGGTTTATAGTTTTTTAATGTTCATAGCACTTATTATGGGCAGGCACAATGCCAAGTACTTTCTTATTACATTTAGGCCCAATGAGGCTGGTACTATTATTATCCCCATTTTTAGAGGAGGAAAGAGGTTTCCATACTTAACAGTAACTTACCCAAGGTCACCTACTTTGGAAGTGGCACAGCTATGATCTGAAGCTGAGTTTGTTCACTGTAATGCCCGTACCCTTACACTATGCAGCCACTGCACCTCCATGTATAGAATTGATATGGAGTGTGATGGTGGCCATGTTCAGACACTGTTTTTCCTTCAGTAAATCAGGGTCATTCACATCACTCCAAAGTCCACCTTTTCAAAAACTTTCCAATACAGAGCATATACTTGCCCAAAGGGATTCTAGCTGCAGAAATAATGAGTAGTCAGCTGAAGGAAAGGGGTAGCACATTTAGAAAAGGCTGTCTATATCGGTTAGGTACACTAACTGAAGGAGGCCACAATGAGCCCTTATAAAATATATTCTTTTCTGAGTGCTCCAAACAGTTCATATACCACTTTTCATCTCATCTCCCAGCACATGGTAACTGATTTGGATTAAGAATAGACTATTTCAGAGGTCCATGGACTCTAATGAAGAGGTTAAAGGCCCAGGATCTGGTGTCAGATTGCCTGAGTGGAGTCCTGACTCCATCGCTTAAATTATGTCAGTTAGCTTCCCTGTGCCTCAGTTTCCTCACCTTTAAATGGAGACAATCGTAGTACTTATCTCATAGGGTTGTTGGGAGCATCTACTGAGATGCTGCAAAGTTCTTGATAGTGTCCCAATAAATACTAACTGTTATAACATTATTGCTGTTATGTGTACCCCAGCTGGCAGCTCCATGAAGTTGAGAAAGACTGTCACTGGACTTTACATACAGTTAGAGAGCTTGGTGGGTAGCTGCTAAATACTTCTAATACATGTATCCTATGTGATCTTCATATCAGCCCTGTAAGGTAGTCATGGTGAAGAAAGGCCCAGCCTGGAGTACTCTTGGGATTACAGGTGAAGCAGCAGCCCTCATAAGCTGTTTGTCAGCAGGCCTCTGCAGTCACACCTCAAGTGGACCAAGAGGTGGGCTTCTGTCAGCATTTGTTTAAAAGCTCTTTAAGGGTGCAATCTTCTTGGCTCCAAGAATGCACTTACAGAAGTACCTCTATTTTGAAATACCTTTGCTTTGTACAAGTGACCTCCTCCCACACCAAGTACCAGATTCAGCTCAGATTTTTTTTCTTAATATTGGCAACACTTAATGCTACTTCTTTGTTCATAACATTTTGTTTAATTATTTAAAAATCTGCAAAATGTTGTGTATATTTTACCATAGTTTTTAAAGATCTCCAAGTGTAGACCACACTCTAGCATTTCTAAAAATAAAAGTAAACATGTTAAATTAAGGTGAGATTTGCTGCATTATATTTTTTAATCGAACTTTTCCTCTATAAGAGACATGATACCCCAAATATAGTTCATGTGTTTAACAAGAAGATTTAGTTAGGCTTCAGATTTCCCTCAATAATAGTTTTATTTTTATACATTCTGTCATGAGTTTAATGAAGTAAATAATTAGTATGCTGTCATAAGCAAATTACCTGCAGATAAATGCTCTACAGATCTCAGTATTTCATTGTTTATTAAATTCTGAAGTATCGAGAGGTTTCGACTGAAACCCCAGCTGGATTCTTTGTAGAAATTATAGTTCATGTGGAAATTCAAGGAACCTACAATAGTCAAAACAGTCTTGAAGAACAAAGTGGGTGCACTGACACACCCCAATTTCAAAACTTACTACAAAGATCCAGTAATGAAGATAGCCAGTTGATAGAATTGTGAGATCTGAAGTAAACCTTCACATTTATGGTCAATTGATTTTCATATAAGGGTACCAGAATCATTCGGTGTAAGAAAAAGGTTTTCAATAAATGGTGCCAGGACAACTGGATATCCACATGCAAATAAATGAAATTGTCCCCACTGACTTCATACCACA